CATAGGGATCAGGTCATGTGAGGCGAATGGAAGAAATGTGGGATTCCCACTCTCGATAAACGGGGGAAACATTGAGGGATCACGACAACTGCTACATTGGAGGAAGAAGAAGCTATTGGGGAAGTAACGATTCTAGGATGAAAAAGTAGAAGATGCAAATGATTGATGACAAGGAAAACGAGCAACTCAAAACTTTCAACAAACAAATTGAAGAGAATAAAAAAATAATCATCTCAAGGAACGACCTTATTGAGCTACCAATTCGTTCTCAGCATCCTAGATTTATTTTTCAGGACATACTTATCAGGTGGAAGGATTTACCGAAGTATAAAGCCACATGGGAGTCATATGAGATGATCAGGAGACCATTCCCATCTTCCACCTTGAGGAAAGGTGCTTTTTTTTTGGGGGGGGGAGTATTGATACGCCAGGGGGGAGAAATCTTGTGGGGCCCAGGGGAGTTAATATTTACTATGTAAGAAGAAGAAATAATTAGGAAAGTTTGTTTAGGGAAAGATGGCTGATTTCAATTAGATTTGGGAGGGAATTAGAAAAGTTTTATTAAAGGAAAGTGGCTGATTTGGGGGCTGATTTAGATGGAATTGATTAGAATATGTTTTCTAATTTAAGAGACATATTTGGATGCTGATTTGGAGGGGGTTAATTAGAAAATATTTCCTAATTGAAGATGACTGATTTGAGGGTTGATCAATTAGGAATTGTTTCATAATTAAAGAAGACATATTTGGGGGTTCATTTGGGAGGGAAACAATTAAAGAAATATGCCAGATTTGGGGCTGATTTGGGAGGGAATTAGAGGAGGGATGTTTTGGTATTTTTACTGTTTATTGTTTTCTTTAAATAGTTGATTTACCCTAGGGATTATGACATGTTATGTGTTTGCTGAATTTAGTTTGTTCTTAGGTTATGAGGGCTCTAGCCACCGGTTAGAGATTTGGGAGAGTCGTCTCTTCCTCTCCAATTGAAGATCTATTATATCATGTTTCTTATCTTTCATATTTTCTAAAATAAAAAAGATTTGTGGTGTGTTCTTCTTCCCAAATTCTCTTTTGGTTCGCTGATTTGATAGAAAATTCTTCTACTTCATATCACAATCTTATTGTAACAGTCATTTAATCCCACCTCAATTTATCTAAGATCTTTAACTAGATTGGGGCACAAATTAACATTAAATTTTCTTAGGTATGGAGGTGCATGCCCATTGCTTACTCCTTGAGGGAACGTTCACCTTTGACCTTTCTTAGCAAGTGGGTTTGACATGACCAAGCATCATCTTACTAAAGGGGTTTCCATTGAATCGATATCAAAATTTTGTTGAACAACTAGGACTTCACCACAATGTCATTACAATAAGAACAAAAATAATATATTAAAACAAGTTTAAACACTAAAAATCATAAAAATATCCATCTTGGATGAAAGATCAACCTCACAATTGTCAAAATGCCATTGGGATACCACAAAGGCTTGGTAGAGTTAAGAAGATTAAGCAAACTACCCACCCGTCATAACCATGCATCCTCGGACTAAAAGCCAACCTTACATGCATGTAATAATTCAGGGACCAAGTATAATTGTTTTTATTCATATATTACACATGGGAGACAATCAATCAATATTCAAATTGACAACCACTATAGCTATTATGTTGTAATAGCCTAAACTCTCAACCAATTTAATATTGTCAGTTTTGGTTGAATAGCCTCCCCTTCAGGTTATTTCCAAAGGGTCACTCATCCTTGGAGTGCACCCAAACATGGAGTTTCTAATAAAATTTAAATCATTACATCAAAAGACACCTTGATGTTTAAGAGTTCAACTTTATTCTACTTCAGAGATTTCAAAGTCTACCCCATTTAAGTAATTAATGTCCTCATATGTATCCCTACATATAACCTAAAATCATCCACAAGGCAGATAAGATTCTAGATGTGGCCCCTATAAGTTTAAGATTTAATTCCCACTATGTAGCACTTTGTCCCAACTAGGGTTCAAGAGGTATCTCCAATGAAATGGTACTTTATCCTATATAAAACTTAATTCCCATCTTTGGGTAGGTGTAATAATCATATATTATATTAGTAATAACTCAAACTCTCAACCATCAAGATATTATCCGTTTTGATCTTATACTTTCATAATTTCGTCTCCTTAGTGTAACATCTCAAGGGGTCACTCATCCCAAGAGTGCTATCATATAATTATGCTTAACTTTGAAAATTTTAATGAAATTTCAACCATTACACCAAAAGGCACCTCAATGTTTAAAAGGTTCAACTTTATTCTACTTATGGGGTTTCACACATATAGGCCACTAAAGGGATCATACATATATAGTAGTAAAAATAAAATGAATGGTTAAACATGGTACTAGCAAATCATTGGTCTCTCATTTAGTCATAAACTCATCAAATGGCATTCTAAAACCCATCAAATTATCAAATGGGGCCAACTATGCCATGTCTCACACTACGCTAACATACCAATTCAAAAGCAAGCCCCACTACATGCCACATGGAGCACTCTAATGGTCGCACCCCATCACATGGGCCAAATTAGCACCATATTATTCTCCCATTATATAAACCAAGAAAATTTGTAGAAAAATCTCTAAGCCTTTAGGCTATTATAAACATACGCAAGAAATTTTTTTTTAAAAAAAAAAGCCTCACGCTTTTTGCAAAACTCAAGAATTCCTACATAATTTGAGAAAACTCCAAAAATTTTGAATAAATCCCTCCAAATATTCACAAGTACATTTAGCAAGAATAAAATATAAATATCTAAATTCTCACTCATAAAATTTCAAGAAATGCATAAAAAAATCCAATCATTAAAATGGGTAAAAATATTAATAAATAAAATAGATGCTAGGATCAATTCCTTACCCACTAGAGGTGAGACTTACACGACCAATGATCTAATGATCCTTTAAAGCATATGCATTGACCCCTCAAGTCTGGTCAAGCGGTCATAATGAATCATAGAACGCAAACTGCAAAGAACATTCCCAAATTTACCTGAATGGAGCTAGCTATCTAGATGATCACTTGCCTCCAATAGTACAAAAAGGTAAATCCACAATTGATGCAAGTGTTATTGCCTTGATTTATATGCCAGCATAAAAAATACAAGCAAGGAAATTTGAAAAATGACAAATAAATAATGCCGGGTTGACTATGAAAATCTGAGATAGGACTACCAAATTCATGAGGTCCTCCACAAAATCCCTCCCAAAAGAGATATCATCAGAATAGTCAAATCATTTATTTCTCAGTGTTCATACATTAAAGCCTTAAGTTACTTCATCCAATTGAAAGAGCAAAAAGTCATTTGTTAGTCAAGATCTTCCACAAAATTGGCCTTCTTAATATATTTTTCATCTCCGGTTTATTAGCTCAACGTTAACAAAGAAGCTCATGGTTCTAAATAAACCTGCCGATAAGAGGTAAGGCTCAAGCCCATAGTCATCTTAACTTTTCTGACTATTTAACCAAAGGCCAATCAATGGAGTATCCATAGAATTCTTTTCAAAGTTTGCCACCATCCCCTTCATCTTCTATAATTATGGAATAACCAATCTCCACAAAAAATATATGAAGTCATCAAGATATCCTCAATTGCTAATTAATCATGAGAGTTTGCACCAATGAAAAACCTTGAAATAGAAATATTGTACTCGATGAGGTAAAATTTCAAAGAAGTCTATTATCCATTGTCCCATTAGTTTATTGGAAATATATTTCTAATCCTCTTAAGATCTAAGATGAGCATTCAAGAGCCTGTAATAGATAAGTTATTCAATAAAACTTAATCGAAAAAGTATCATATTATTAATTCCAAGCTACTAAATTTCTAATATAGATACACTCCTACTCATGAAAATAACATTTTTAACACTGAAGACAACACTCTTCAGTGATACCCACAGATTTAGCTTCTTTCTGCATCAATAAATTTTTCAGAAAGGCTAATTCACAAACTTAACCAAAAAAAAAAAAGATATGATAAATTATTTCTTGATGTTATGTCGGTTAAATGCAACTTTATCAAGATTTTACTTCTTCAGCAGGTGCATGTAAGCGCTATATAGAATCTTAAATAATTTTTTTCTTCATAAAGTAATATATTGATATAAAAGCTTCGCAATGTGTTACGCCTGGACCGGTCCCAGCTGGACCGGTCCGGTTCTACACCCGACGGCTCAAAGTCGGGCGGAACCAGGCAGAAAACACAGAGGAGCGGGAGTCGGTGGGCCCAAACAGTGGTTAAAACGCATGGTGGGAGGGAAAATTTTTTAATTAGAGGCTGTTTTAGGAAGTCCATTATTGTCCTTTATGATTAATTTGTATAATTAGGAGATTTGGGGGGATTGGCTCCTGATCTTGAATTTTGAATTTTCATTTGAGATCTAGGTTTCGTTTTGGGCTCGTGGCATCGCCGGAGATTGTGGAGAGTACGTTCTTCCACTCGGATTGAAGAACAATTGTATCTTGATTATTTTGCTTTGCATCTAGTGGAATACAAGTCTATACTTGTGTTTTCTCTCAATTTCTCCCTGTTCCTTGCTGTTTTCTCGCTGTGGACAACAGTTTTACTATTGGTTTTTACTGATTTGGGATAGGAATACTTGTGACATAAGTACTTCTTATCACAATGTTTTCATATATAAGCCATGTAATATTTCCAAGTTCTTTCTGCTTTCAAAAAGACTACTTCAAAAGTAAAACATGTTTCAGCAAGTAAATGACCATATTGCAAACAATTGAATCATGCACCTATACATTTAACAGAAATCAAGCTTCACAGAGGGGAAGAGTATTAATCAATAATAACTGCATGCATTTTGGAAGTAACACTTATGAGATATATGATGCTCAATTTTAAGAAGAATATCTCTTGCAATACGGAAGATTCAACTTAATTAGTAAATAAACTATCTTCTGCACGCATAAGCCATAAGAACATAAATAGCATACCAATGCAGAGTTCAATAGACCACCAGATCGCTTATCTGGTGAACCAAATTCAACCTGATTTTCTAGCATCTTCTCATATGGTGTCTTTATATCTGCAGGCCGTGTTGTTGTGTAAACAATTCTCTTTGTTGGGGTCACAGCTTTGATCAATGCCTCTGCCTCCTGAGACCGGATGACAGCACTTTGATCAGCCTCTGCAATTCCAGTTTCTGACCTCAGTCTGAACATGATGTGAACACCATCAACCTCCACTTTTTGCACCTGATCGTTGTTGATCTTGCTCATGAAATCACTAAAAGGCACACTGATGTAGGTTGGCGGGGTCCTAAGCTCAGAGCCAGGCAAAGGAATTCCTGGCCGAAGTAGCCTCATAGCAAACATCACAATCCCAAGCTGTAGCAGAAGAACTCCAATCTCCTGAGCCTGGATTATCGGCTGCCATTGCCATTTACTTCCTTTCCACCAACTACTCTTCCACTTCTTCTCCCTTCGAGAGGGAGGAGATGGTGAAGATGAAGAGGAAGGATTTGATGGGTTATTAATTCCCTTGCTACTCTTTGACGAGGCTTCGTTGTTACTGTCGCTGGTGCTAACCTTCGATTCCGAATCCTGCTCAGAGGAACCGTTAGCTCTGATCCTCGTGCTCTCAGCCCAACGACTCTTTCTCAAATAGGCACCCCAGGCATCAAAGCCCTCCTTCAAAATTTTGTTTTTATGTGATGTGGGGATGGAAGAGGTCTGGTGAGTTCCACCAAGCCAAACAGTTTCTCTTGAGAAATACCTGTATCGGCACGGGAAAATGATCGACCGGTTGCCGAATTCAGCATATTTAAAACGCAAGCCGGCATGGAAATAGACAGTGGCCATAGAATGTTGAGTCACAACCGTTTCAGGTACCTCCCAAGAAAGAATAACGAATCTCTCCACTCTTCAGAAATTGGATGAACAAGTAATAGCCAGCGCATATAAACCAAGAAGAAACTGAAACTATACGCGAGAACAAATAATCAACAGCCTCCAGAATAAACAATCACAGAGAAACTGGGAGAAAGATTGATTTTGTATAAGAATAAAAGAGCAAACCGGGGCCAAATTACAGGGCAAACAATAAAAACTCACCTGAAGCACAGGCAAGGATATCAGATCTGGTGAAGCGTGCAGAACAATTTCTTAAAGCAAGATTTCTAGCAACCGCCGACCTGGAGAAGCTCCGAGCAAGAAGAAAACGGGAGAGGCGGCTACAGTGGGTCTGCAAGCCAACCAGACGTGAAAAGTGAAAACTTACTATATTTAATTCTTTATTGAGTCAAATACCTGATGATCGGCCTCTTTTAGGAAACATTGGCAGTTCGCACAAAAATTGGAGCTAAATATGAGAGATAAAATTCGCAGAGGCGGAAGAGATAGCTCCACTAAACTTTGTCGATGTCTTGGTTTTAAGCCTAAACGACCATAGCGTTCCGTCTTTACGCTCTATTTTCACAAAGATGTTACGATCAGTTCAAAGTTCGGAAGAAAGTGTCCGCATGGCCGGATGACAAAATAAATGAGGTTTTTTTTATTATTATTTGAGGGCAGAGCCCGATTAATTAACTATGATATAACATTACAAAGTTAATCAAAAAAGCTCACTTAAGTAAGACTCATAATAGTCAGAGAGATCTCCATTTGCCTGAAAGAGAGCAGTCTAGATGTATCGAACTCCTATACAATGCCGCCACGTGATGGCCCGACCACCCAACAATTCGATCCAATGAAATTTTAATATTTGTTTTCTAATTTACCATGCAATCGGACAACCCAACCCGGTCCGGACGCAATAAATTAAGTTTTACTAAAAATAAAACTGTGAATATCTAGGGTTTAGGATTATTTTTGCCATCTAAAATAGGATTTCTTCTCAAAGGAAAGTTGAGAAAAGAAAAGAGAAAAAGAGGCTCTGAATATGAAAATCATTTTGGAGGACGTCAAATTCTCTGAGGAGATGGAAGACATTACACAAAACATCCAGTAAGACTTACTATAGCGAACAATGGGAGATAAGTTGATGATGTTATTAGAAAATTTAAAACTTCAAAGAGGTTTTACTATTTTTTATTCGAAAATTTAGAGTTTTTAATGGTTTATAGCGTATCGTTCAAACCTTTTTTGCTCCTCATAAGTTCTATTTCTCTGCACAAGCTTAGATTCAAGTTTGGATTTTGTGTAAAAGTTCAGATAAAAATATAATTTGTTGTGTATTATTGTTGTGTACGAGTACTTTTGCTATGTATTATTATCGTATACCTCTCTGTACTACGTATGTGTGCCGCTACTGTGTATCATTGTCTACCGCTGCTGTGTACCAACTGTATATCACTGTGACTTTTGTTTACAACCATGTTAATATCAGTATGATTTAATACCTTTCTCATGTGCACATGGTGTTTCTAATTATGAGAACGAAGCATACGATATGTATTATCATTATGCTCATAATGTTGATTTTAGTGTTCCCAAAGAACATTGCAGTTACTGGCATAATTCAAGAAAAATAAGATCCAAGGGCTTTGTATGTTCGAAAGCTGAATTTAAGAAAGGTATTTACTTAAATTCCCAGTCCAAATATCAAAAATCAAATACTAGAACGGGGTGTCCCACTATGATTAGATTTTTAGTGGATGGAGATGGAGTTTGGATGGTGCAAACATGTATAGAGAGCCATGACCACGAATTAGCTAGGTCGAAAGATCGACATCTACTTAGATCATGTAGGAATATTAGTGATGAGAAATCATCAGTTCTTAAATCAATTACAGAAGCCGGAATAAGAATCGTTGATCCATTTACCTACTTACCTGATAAAGTTGGAGGTTTAGAAAATGTTATATTATCTAAGAGGGATAATATAACTACATACACAGAGAGAAAAGATCAAAGATTGAGTATGGGGACATCAAATCCCTAATTCAACTATTTAAAGATAGATTAGCTGATGACAACATGTTTGCATAGGACGTCCAAACTGTTTTGATTAAAATATATATATATTGTTTTGAAAAAGTATTAATTTTCTTTGGGAATATTAAATTTTGAATTTTGAAATTGAAGACGTCATTATGAACAATATATCGCCTCGAAAGACGATCATATCGTTCCCTAATGGGTTCAAATTTCAGAATTCTAATTTTATATGGATTATCGTAGTCAAACTCAAAGGGAAAATCACATTTGACCCCGGAGGATCAAAATGGAATTTAATCAATTGTTTGACTATTCTAATTTGGATAAAATGATGATTAATTTTATATTCAAAATCAGGATAATAGAATGATATATCTCTCCAAAGAAAGAGGATATCACTTATTATCAATCATTTGGATATAACGATAATGATCGCTGTATTTATTTTTTCCAAAGAGAATTAATTAAAGGTTTTGAAAAATTAATTTTGAAAATCAATTCTGAGTTTCTAAATCCCCTACGAGCGCAAGCTCTCGTAGTTAATTACATCGTAGGAAATCAAAATTTCCTACGAAAACTCTCGATTAAAATAGCGGTAGAAATTTCATTTAAGATTTTCAAAAAAAAATCGATATCAAAGGAGAGAAATGGTAGGAATTTTCAAATGGGATTGGTTCAATGTTGAACACTTATTTTCAGGAGTCAAAGGAGGAGAAGTAGGAGGTGCTTTGAGATTTTGAATTATTTCAGAAACACCTCAGTCTATCCTAAGTATTTGGCTTGAATTTGATTGAAATGGATATTTAATTTGAGTGATCAATTTTATTAGAAATTTGGGATTAGATTCCCGGAGGTTGAGGTCTTAATTATAGCTCGAGCTATCCTCAGAACCTAAGTCTAAGTTGGGTACTAAAAAGTGACCCGAACCTAGCTAATGCAGTGCAAATCTGGACTTACCCCGGCCTGGATTGGGGAGCCAGCTAACCACCTAATCGATTTAAAATAAATGAATCCGGTCTTTTATGAAAGAGTGGTAGGGACGTTTTATTTAAAGTTTTGGAGAGTTGGGGCCGACATCTAGAGATTTTTCTAATTATCCCCTTTGACTTATGCTAGGTGCAAAATGCTAAGAACTAATGCGTTTAAAATTTTGACTCTTTTAAATCTGTTTTTAATGCAATGCATGCTAGTTAACAACTCCAAATCAAATATGCTTGAAAGTTAAAAAACAGGCTTAGAAAATAATTTTTTAGAAGACTGGACTTCCCTAGGTCCGGCACCTCGTCCTCATAGGTCAGACTATCCGAACTCTACCCGCAGACGGGGAAGGGTCTAAAGCAAGGAGAGAAGAAGTGCAGAAATATGCATGCGACCCCGGGGTCGATCCCCGGCTAATTCCCTAAATTCGTTATCTTTCTATGTTGTTCAGACTCGCTAAAATCTTAAACTTTAAAGTTATGAGTATAAAAATTTTCACACCCTCACGAGTCTCACGAGTCCAGGCAAAAAATAAAAGCGGCACACAAACGCCAAAAAAACTACGAAAAGTAGGTAATTCTATACGCAATCGCATCAAACATCAATCAAATTAATTAAATTAATATTCAAATTAAAAGTCCATAGGCAAAGTTGCCTTGCTTATTACAAACCAGGTCTGCAGAAAATAAAGTGGCCGAGCACCACTAACAACAACCCGGGTTCTAAACCTAGGACTAGAGTGAATTTGAGATTTGGGAATCTTCTCGTCGCCCATTTCTTCGTCTTCTCACGAACATCTTGATTCGTCGGTTCTGGATATCCAAATGAAAAGAAACTCCCCCTTGAACGGGGTGTTATCTTTCATCTTTGGATATTTGAAGAACATCCAAACTTGATCTTTCAAATGGACGAAAACTCTCCCCTTTAGGGATGTATTCTCCTCTTTGGAATTCAAGTTGGATCTAAACATCCCAACTCAAATCACTTTAAATACAACTCAAATTATATCAAATTATATTAAGCAAAATTGAAAAATCTAGACTCGATCCTGCAGAGTTATCCTAATAACCAGCAGTTATATAAATAATTCCAAGCAGTTAATATTTAGTCTCAAACAGATATGATCAATCCCAAGCAGTTAATATTTGAAATTTAAAATGCTCAATTACTCACAACACATAGTGCAGAAAAATAAGTAAACAAACACATCAATTCTAAACTAGCGACCAACATGCAATGAAAGCTCGAAAATCCGGCACACAGCAGAAAAGTAAACACCGGCCTAGCCTAGAACTAGAGTTGGTTGTTCTAGCAAACCATCTAAAGTGTGTGTGGTAGGCCGTGTGGTTTGGATATGTCCTATGGAGGGCATATTGTTAAAGTCGTTTGTATTTTCGGTTGGTTGAAAGGCTTAAGGGAAGATTTAAATTTGAGCTCAAAATATTAATGATTTAAGATTGATTTTAACTGTTGGTTGATTGCAAATTTTAAGGTTGAATAAACATTTCTGGATTTTTAAAGTGATTTTCGAGTTTTGGGAATCTTCTATATTATTCTAATCATTTAATCAAGGGGTCAAAAATTGACTTTTCAATTAAGAGAGTTTTCTATAAAGTTAGTATTTTATTAAAATACTAGACCTTAATACGATCAGTTAGACTGTAAGTATGCTAAAATTGGATTTTTCTACAATTAGTTATGAAGGTTTGAAGATTTGACCTAATTTGACCTAGGTTTGACCAATTTGTTGACTTTTTGTACTTAATGATTTTCTGGAATTTTAATATTTTTAGTAAATATTAGACATTATTATGAGTTGAATGCAAGTGAGTTTGGTCAATTTGGCGTTTTCTAGAGTTAGTTATGATTTTTCAAAGTTTGATGTATTTATTGAATTTTTAAAATTGTTTAATTAGAAGGATTTTCTTGATTTTGCTCCAAATGAATTCCAAACTCCTTGAAATCAACTCCAAAGGTCAGGAATGACCCAAGAAGAGATTCCCAAGTGTTTGAAAAAATTTTGGAATTTTTAATTATTATTAATTATTTATTTTAATTAAATATTAGTTTTCAATTAAAATTAAACTAAGGTTTGATTTGATGTCTGATCAAGGGGGTTTTAATTTTCATTGATTAAGGTCATGATTCTAGTGAGTTAGAGGTCTTGTTTGAATTTTTTGGATTTAAATTTAATTTATTGTAATTTTTGGAAATTTTAAAGTCCTTAATGAGACTGATTTTGATTTGCTTAATTTTCTAAGTTAATGACCTCCACATTGGATGAAATTGGAACATAAGGTGTAAAATGTCACTATGTTTATTGTTCTTAAGTTTCATCCCTAGTGGATGTGTGTACAATGCCCTAGAAATTTTCTAAAATTTCTAGACATTTTCTTAAATATTTTCCCTAGGTGTCTCTACTGTTCAAATTGGTTTGAAATTCGGTTTGTCTAACCCTGGCATACATGAATCCACACCACAGAAATTTCACAGCAAAACACTGAGAACCTAAAGAGTTATGAATTTTCAAAATTTAGGGTCCAAAATGGACCCT